TAGTTGATATTTACGATATCTTGTCAGAGAGAGATGCGATAAAAAGATACTTCGGTATATATCCGTACGTGTATCATCATGCAATTATATATAATTATGTAATTATCCAGTTAGATGCAATATTGAATGTGCCATGTCTTTATTATTATTTAATGGTTTTTTGACTAATTCGGCGCTGATTTTATTTTTACAAAAATGTGAGAAATTCTCGTTTTTCGCAATTTATATATTTAAAATTATACATAAAGTGTCCTAATAACTATTAGCACCTGAAATATCTTCGAATCTATAAGGTCTAGAGGAAAATTTGTATAACCAAAATTGCACGATATGAAAGGGTCTATCATATTGCAATAATATTTTTTTATCCAGATGAAGGCGCTCAGAGATTTCAAGTAAACTTTATTTTTTTTAATGGAATTATATTATATGATTTTTTTACGTAATATGATTCTTCTAGTTATTTTGCGCTCATAAAAGTATTAAAGTAGAAGTATTGAAAAATCAATAGTTTACGAGATATTTTATACTTTATTCTGGCATATATTGACATAAAATGTTAAATAACTCGTAAATTAATAACTTTTTGATAATCTTACTTTAATACAGTTATGAACAAAATAATGAGATGAATCAATTGGTGGAAAGAAAATACAGTTGTTTATTTAAAGTTATCCATTTTGTAGCCATATTTTTTAAAACAACTACGTGTTTTCTTTATTCGCTTTTAATCTTATTTCTCATTATTCTGTTCATAAAAGTACTAAGGTACGATTATCAATAAATTATTAATTTACGAGTTATTTAACATTTTATGTCAATATATGCCAGAATAAAGTATAAAATATCTCATAAACAATTGATTTTTCACTTTTATACCTTAATACTTTTATACCCAAAATAACTAGAGGAATCATATTACGTAAAAAAAAATTATATAATTCTATTTAAAAAAATGAAGTTGACCTTGAAATCTCTGAAACGTCTCCACCTAGACAAAAATTATTATCGCCATATGATAGATCTTTTCACATGGCAATTTTAGTTCTACAAATTTTCCCCTAGACCTTATAGATTCAAAGATATTTCAAGTGCTAATAGTTATTGGGACATACTGTGTATACCTATATACAGGGTCCGGCCAAATGACATATAAAAGCGGCCATGACGTTTTCTTTATAAAAAAGTAAAAAAATATATAGAATAAAATTTTTCAATTTTCTGCTTAGTTTTCGAGAAAATTGGATTTGAGAATCCGTTGCGTACATAAGCTAAGCTATGATTTGTTGAGCGATTAATTACGCAACAAATCACGCATTCGAGCAATTAAAAAACCAAAATACATTGCAGAAGGTTCAGGCATCGATAATTAGACGGGCACAGTTATGTATCCAACAACGAGGACAACAGTTCCAGCAATACTGTAATTGATAAAATAAAATTTTTTTTGTTCACTAAAAATTTTCTTTTGTGTTTTTCTTTAAATCTAATAGCTTTTAGATTCCGTGTAAATATTGTTTTTTATAATTTATAAACACTATACGCGTTATACATCCCTCGATGAACCGTAGCATAACCATAACAGCATATGTATGCAGCGGATTTTCAAACTCGATTTTTTCGAAAACTAAACAGAAAATCGAAAAATTTTATTCTATATATTTTTTATATTTTTTTATAAGGAATCACGGCATGTCCGCTTTTACGTATTATTCGGCCGAACCCTGTATATATATATATATATATATATGCAGGGTGTATCAAAAGTCCGGTAACCGTCGAATATCTCGAAAGCAAAGCATTTTTGAGAAAAATGATTTAGACAAAAGTTGTAAAAATGAATTTTTAATGCAAAAATCAAATTATGAGGAACAACCCTCCAATGGTTTTGATCTTAACAAATGTTATCCAGGGCATGACTGACCAACATTCAAAAGATTTTAGTCGGTCCAATATCTTGTGTAACACCGGTGGTACTGTAACTTTTAAGTAATTTTCTCATAACTCGAAAAGTACTTATAAAAATGAACTTTATTGTAGTATTTTGAAAAGCTCTCAAAATAAGCTATAAGAATATGCAATGAAAAATAGGGGGTTCCATTTAAAAAACTCGATTTGCCCTTGACCTAACCTTGGCGATGCCATCAAACGGATGTGATCAGTAAATAGATCTTTTTAAATTTTACAACTTTTGTTTAAAACTTTTTTCTCAAAAATGCTTTGCTTTCGAGATATTCGACCGTTCCTAGACTTTTGATACACTCTTATATCTATAATACAACAAATATTAAATTTAAATCATGTAAAGAAAAAGAATTCTATTTTAGTCTATTTGAAATTAATATTAAAGTATATTATTTTATTTATTTACAAATTTAGTTTATAAAAGATTCTTATTCTGTATGAACTGGTATACAGAAAAAAACAGTTTTATTAAAGTATTTAAAAATTTAGCTATAGATTTAATGTTAGACTATCAATAATTATGTAGGGCACTCAAACTGGTTGGTAGTCAAAACTTTTTGCAGCATTATTCATCATCCTTGAGATTTCTACGTAATTATGATGATCCAAAATTATTTTCAGATCTGTATCTAGCTAAATTTTTAAATTGTTCTTTCCGTATGGCATTCCTAATTCCTGAAAAATACTTTTTATTTAAACATCTGTATTTTGTAACATGTGGGAAGCAGATTTGCATTTTCGTATTATCATATTCTATAATATTTGGTAATCCCTTCAAAAAAATTTGTTGAAAAATAGCTGTTTTTAATAACTAGGATTATATATACATATATAATCGTCCCACTGGTTTTAAGCAACCACCTTGTTGATAGCCACGTATGTGTATAAAAATTATATCTGTAGTTCTCAGATCAGAAATATTTTTAATCTCAGTTCAGTAATATAATTATTGAGGATTTATTAATTAACCGAATTTCAAAATTCTAGATCTGTAGTTTTCTGATGAAAGTTAATCTTTAAAGTTAATCTTTAAAACCAGGAAATTGATTTTAAATTTCAGTTACCTCGAGATTTCTTTCGCGTATATTTCTTCTAATAATCGGAAATATTTTCCGTTCACTTTTGCGAAACAATTTACATTTTGAAACGAATTATAATACATGTTTTCGTCAGACGATTCACACGAAACAAAAGGTGATGTTACGTTGGTGTTTTTTCCTCTTTTTTTTTCATTACGTCACACTCGTCTCGAAGCGATCTCTTCTCTTACATGCGTGTTTTTTTTATCTGTGGTTTTCCATATCCTATCTCATCTCTGGGAATGTTACGCCGCAACACTCGCACGCTCAATATACAAGACGGGAATAAAATCACATGTGGCTTCCATAAAGTTCGACTCGATCAAATAAAATATTTTATTATATATTATATGATTATATTTAATGCAAATCATAATCCTACTATATACAATATATGGTATATTCAGTTTGATTATATTCGATAATATTCCTATATTCCTCTTATATCATCAACATAATGTTGTATAATTTTGCAAGAAGTAAATATTGCATTTAAAATAGTGTATAATTTATACAAAATGGAGAAGAAGACATTTATTACCTAGAATTTATTAAAATATTTTTAAAGCAGATTATTCAAAATATCGAATTAGAATATCCCCAACAATTAATAAATTCGAGATAACCGTTCTGTATAAATTATACACTATTCGAAATATAACGTTGGAATTTTCCGAAATCGATGCGTAGTAACTGAATAGCCTACAACCGTTTTCTCAAAAGGAACTATCAGCTATCAGCGAACTTTCAACCGAATAAATTATTGTAGCCAAGCAAGTTTATCGACTGCAATATCACTACTTCGTCCTGCGCCGTGTTTGCCGCATCGAATATCTCGTCGCAGCCTCGATGAAATTGTAGATATCTCTCTCTCTCTCTCTCCCTCCCCCTCTCTCTTTCTCTCTGTTGAATGCAAATCCTTATTCACAATACCCGGTAGGTGGTTTGCTCGTTATCGATCTGTCCTTTCACCTTTCCCCGTTGTTTTCTTTTCTTCTTTTGCACCTTCGTGCGACATAATGGATTTTTCTTTTCTTGAGGAACCAACGATTAGAGTCGCGAGTTTCTGTACGTGTGTGAGCAGGGTATTAGTTTTAAGCGGAAATATGTGTGTCAAGTACGTATAACAACGGCGCTATGCGATCAATACCCTTTCTGGACAAGGTAAATTTCCGTACTTAATATCGCGTCAGCGATTCTGGCGATGCCAATGAATGGCAAAATACGTAGCGGTCTTCTGCTCGGCGGCGATTATGATTATTGAATGAATTTGTTTGAAAATATCATAATTATCATAAAACAGTAATTAAGATGCCCGAAAACAGATAAGGCATCTCTTTATATTCCCGGCATAACGACAACAAAAAATTTGTATCGGATGAGCGACGTATAAATTGCAAAATGACGTCAGAATTGTTCTCGTTTGCAGAAGCAAACGATGATGATGCGCGAGAGACGCTCTTTCTTCCGGTATTGCGAAAACAATCGATCGTCGGGCCGAGGACCGCTACGTGTTTTGACATTGGTATAATCAGAACCGCTGTGTGTGTGACGTGATATTAAATACGAAAATTTATTCTATTGAGAAGAATTTGTATTTCTTTTTTTTTTCAAAATTCTCTTCGTAATAAATGTTGACAAAACAAATAGCACGCAACTGGAGATATATCTGTTACGATAGTGATACTATATTACGTAACAGTGATTGTGAGAGAAATATCAGGAAGAGGATTAGGCTTCGTAAAATATTAACGCAGTATTTGGATTTTCAATGTTGTATAGACAAACTGAAAGAGATATATTGCACAATGTAACATATAATATATCTTTCTTTGTTTCTTTTATACTAAACATGACACGTTATACTTAGAATATCGCTTAACATATTTAGGTATTCATAGTCCGTTCTTATTTCAAGATCGTCTTAAGTAATGTCTTAAGATGCTAAAACGGCCCTCTGATTGGTTCGTGACATCTTAAGACTATATTGAAGACGGTCTTGAATATAAGAATCGATTATGAATATCGTCCTTAGGCCCAGTTTTACAACTCACGGTTAACTCTTAACCGAGATTCAACTTGTTTCTCATCTCTTTTCAATTGAATTGGAAAGAGATAATGAATAAGTTAAACCTCGATTAAGAGTTAATCGTGAGTTATGAAACTGGGCCTTAATACAATACTGTGCTATTTAAAATATTATCTCACAATACTTGCTATGAAAAAAATCGTAAATTAAATTGTGGTCTATTGGTAATACGTTGTACAAAAAAAAATAAAAAGCATTTCCTTGATTTCTTGTAGTTTGATTCATTTTAGGCGAATATGTGAGAAAGGAACTATTTAATACTTAGGCATTCTATTTAACGAATAAGTATTTTTAAAAGCTTAAAGAGAGTTTTATGATAATGGCGGTTACGATTGCAACGTGTAAATAATCGACAATATCTTGAATGTTCAAGAATGAAATTATACAAAAATAAAATTGTTACATGCATTGTACATATATACAATACAAAGGACTCCGCACGTTCCTTATGGATTTTGGTTCTCGGGTCAAATCTTATCATATTTTGGGAAATTGTACTTTCAGGTGTCCTGATTAAAAGTGTCAATGCACGATTTCCTAAAATAACATTTTCGAGATATAACAGTTCAAACTTCACGATTCCGGAAATTTAATCGGCTACAACTTCTTTACGATTAATTTAAGCACTTTGATCCATATAGGACAATTGATAGAACTCTTTGGAGAGCCATTAGAACTCTCAAGAAAATACCGGATTTCCAAAAAAAATTTTTCAAAAAAAATTCTCTGAAAAAATTTTTTTTAATTTCTGGCACTACTTTAAGGCGTTAGAATGTTTTTGTTTGCAGCCTCAGCTATTTGATTATTAAGGATAATTGTTAGAACTCTTGGGGGAGGAGGGGCTATAGAACTCAGAACAGAATGCCAGAAATCTAAAAAAAATTTTCTTCCAGAGAAAATTTTGAAAAAATTTTTTTGGAAATCCGGTATTTTCTTAAGAGTTCTGATGGCCTTCTAAAGAGTTCTATTGATTGTTCTATATGGATCAAAGTGCTAAAATGAACTAAAAGAAATTATAGCCGATCAAAGTTTCGGAATCGTGAAGTTTGAACAGTTATATCTCGAAAACTATTAATTTTAGGTCGCGCCCATTAACACTTTTAATCAGAAAACCTGGAACTCTACAATTTCCCAAAATATGAGAAGATTTGACCGAGAACCAAAATCTATAAGAAACGCGCGGAGTCCTTTAGGCGATGCCGAGTAAATAAAAATAAATATATAAAAAAATGCAAAATCTAATTTAAAAAAAGAATTTTCATTCTGATGGTGTCTTAAATGTTTATACGATTATCCACGCGTTGCTCAAATTTTGTCGAAAAAATATTGTAGAGTAAGACCAGTGATAAGGATATATAAAGGAGAGAGTTAATAGCTCGTGCATATTATATATCATACCGCAAAACTATTATATATATTTTTAATAATAGCCAATAATTGGCTTTAAGTATTCATATTATATAGCGCGTCTCAGACACGTCGATGTAATTTATACGTCTGTTAAGATTCGAACATTTCGAAGATTCGTTTCGCTTTGGCATAGCGTTTCCACGCTAAAATACCTGCGTCAAGCTGTTTCTTAAATTTAATACTTTCTCTTTTCTCTCTCCTCTCGTAGAAAAGTCGGATCTTATGTAACTTTACTGTGGAATGTATATACCACATCATAGATTAAAGATACAGCTTGCTAACAGTTACAGTTTGAGCGAAAGCTAATAAGGATAATGCGCGTTTAAAGAACTATAATCTCAATTTTTTCTCTCTTATGGAATGTACGTTTGATTGGTCATTGGCTTTCGTCAATGCGCTCACTTTCCCTCTCCCTCATATCCTGTACTGCTCCTACTTGCAACACGTAATCGTCACAATTTCTCATCTACTAGTAAAATGACGCATATACATACAATGTTGTTTCCAATACATATGAATACACATGACCCCCCTCCCTCTTTATTACATATATGTATTGAGAAAAACGAAACGTGGTTGTACATCACATTACTAAGAGCACTTAACCACGCAACACTTTAACTGCGTTATAAAAATACGCAATATTATTACAATAAAATAATTATTCATAGTTCTTAATTCAATTAACTGTGTTTACTTGACGAAAGTCTGTTATGTAGCGCCTTGCACGTTATCACAGTGTACGGTAGTTCCCTTCCTTACATTGCCTATAGAACTTCCATGAGAACGCGGCGATTGCCATCAAACATGTAGTAAGGATAATGCCACCTGTAATAAAAAGATATACATGACTATTTAATTAACAGATATTTAATCGTATCTGTTACATTAAATCGAATACAATAAAACATTTATAATAAAGAAATTCATCTAAAAGAATTTTTTTAAAACCAGTATTCGCAATTTATGCAATTTTAATTATTTTAATATTATAAAATTTTTGTAGAATTTTTTATTTTATTGTCTTATCTAAGATATATGTCTCAATCAATTTATAGAAATAAGTAACAGAATATCTCTTACGTACCAAAGAAGCTTAGACCATCAAAGTGGCGATCTTTAGAAGATGGTGGTACAGCTGTTGTCTTCGATGAAGCTGTGCTAGTGGATGTAGGTGGAGATGTTGGAACATGGCTGGTTGTTTTTGCTGTTGTACTTGTTGGTACAGTAGTTGGAGGTGTAACAGTAGTAGTAACAGTAGTAGTGGAAATGCTGGTGGTACCATTGGTAGTGGTAGGAGTAGTAGGAGTAGTAGCAGTAGTAGCAGTAGTAGCATTAGTAGTAGCATTAGTAGTAGCAATAGCAGTAGTAGTAGTAGGAGTAGGAGTAGTTGTATTATTAGTTATATTATTTGGGTTTGGAGCAATTACAGATTTAACAGTGACGTTTGGTACAGCAGTAGTCCTTTCTGTGTTAGATTCCGAATGACTATTATTCAGAGACTCGGTTGAAGAAGTTTCACTTTGTACTGTACCTAAATATATAAAGAATTCATACATTAATTTTTTTAATAAATAAATATTCTATATATTTCAATTTTTAAATACATTTAAAACTGGTTTTCCTGCGACTTCCAATGAAATAAAAAAATATATCTAAAACTTCATTTTGTTCTCATTTATAACGCGAGCAAATATTTTTTTATGTGTATAAATGCATGTGCGCATCACTCATAAGCATTAAATAAAACAATTTTTAAGATGTTACTCTTAATTAATGATATTCATTTTTAAATATGAAGCAAAAATAAAATTTGAATCAATTTCTGACAATATAAAATTTTTCAGACTGATGTTCTGCGATTAAAAAAATTTTAAACATTCGAATATAATTTTTACCAGAGAATTATGTATTTTGAAATGAGATAAAAATGACAAAAGTGAGCAAATTCACTACAATATTTATAATTTTATTGGTCAATATCTAATAAATTTGTTCACTTTTGTAATTTTCACATCGTTTCAAGATACACAATCCCTCTTAATGTTTTACTTAATTTTTTTACTGTGTCAAATAATTTCAGACATCGATTTACGTTTAACAAATACAAACACATATTAATATCTTTAGATGTGTCATTTCAGTTGAACTTCTTGATTCATTTTTCCTCCTTTTCTCTTCATGTTAGAATAAAAAAAGAGAAAAGATGAACAGTTTAACTAACGCCTAAAGTTTCTACGAATGTAGTTTAATTTTAATCTCAATTCAACTAATTCATCCTTTTCTGTTTTATAAATTAAAAAAAAAAAGAAGAATAACTGAGTAAACTGAGATTTACGCGTCTACTTTGGTAGAAACGAGCATACATAAAAAGAATTTTTTTTTATATGACGAAATTTCAACAGTATCATATCGCTGGTCTATATATCGTTTGTCAGCAATCGCGAATGTATTACTGACGACGATGAAACATTGACTACGTTTACACGGCTTGATTTACAACGAAGTTATAACATCGATGTTATGAAACTGACTAATCATAGCTATTCCTCAGAAGAATAGAATGACTGTGATTGGCCAGTTTCGTAACATCGATGTAATAACTTCGGCGTAAATCGTTCCGTGTAAACGTAGTCATTAAGCCGTTGCGCGACCGATCGTTATCGCTCATCATAGCTAAGATTCGGATGGTGGTGGTCAGCGAAAAATCAATAGCAATCTACTCTAGACCACCGCCGTTGTGTAACGAAGGTCGAACGTGCGTATGAGGTATGTGCTGAGTCTTAATGGCGCTGTTTTTAACGGATCGATGTTTTTTTTAAATCAATCTTATATTTTTGTAGACTTCTCGCGAAAAGAAAAAAGAAGGAAAGGAAAAAAGAATATCTTTACGCGTGAACAGGGTAGCGATCATGTAACTTTATCCCTAGAGCGGAAAATTTCTTGTACGTATGCGTGTATATGTACACACATACATACCTACAAATTTTCATTTTTCACGTTTCCGCTCTGAAGAAAAAGTTATATGATCGCTACCCTGAATGCGGAAAGCGCGAGTCTACGAATACATAAATTTCTTGAACGTCGCTACTGGAAAAACCTGATACAGCGCTATCGGCGCTATCGGTAATTCGATGCAAGTAGGCGTCCCCCGATAAGACGTGGAACCCAGCAGTCGACTATCGTCCACCTGATATCGCGTGCTTTTTAAGCTTCGTTATTACACATATATAAGAAACGCACTTTGCAATCGTTACGCGCCAATATTTAGAATTAACCAACTCACCCACGGCCAGCACCAGCGTCACACATAGTAACGCGTAGATCAAGTAAGCAGACTTCATTTTTCGAAAATTGTGGAAAAATTTCTCGTTTTTTTCAAAATGTACAGATTGCGCAGAAACGATAAAGAACGATAAAATACAACGTGCACTGCCACTGAGCCACACCGGACTGATCGTTGCTGAATGCTGATCGTGATTGTCGTGTGCGGTGTGAACTCTCAACACTTCGAAACGACTTGCAGCAGTTGCAACGACCAGTAGCGACCAGTAGCGACCGTTACGTACAACCACAGTGTATACTGTGGTACAACGTTAAAGATGGCGACAGTAACGCATAGTTACCAGCAACACAGCTTAATAGTCCCTAGATAAGAAATTGGGCAAATTAAAACTCCACTCATTTTGCATGTGCTTTGTATTCGGATTATAATATAAGAATATAGAGGCGTTCAGGTAAAATATGTATTTTATAATTTAAAATATTTGCATTTCACTTTTATACTCAAATTAAATCAGTGTACAACGGCTTTAATACGCACTATAATAATGCTTCCGATCGAATTCGCCATTATAGAACAACCAATCAAATGCTTGCTTCAAAATTAGCACTAAATTCAAATATAGTATTGATAAAAATATATATAAAGAATAGACAAATATACAAATAAAATTAAAATTTGTAAAAACAATACAAGAGTTTATAAATGTGACAAATATTAATATTAATACTAATGACAAATATTAATTTCCTTCGGAAAACGATAATATGTGATGCCTTTTGTATCAGGAAGGAATATACGATTTATAGGCCAGTATATATTATATAAGACAAATTTCAATCGGTTGAAATTTGTCTTATGGATAAGTTTACTGCTATTTCTATTTCCGTCAGATTACGTAGATTTAGGCCCAGTTCCACAACTCACAATTAATTCTTAATCGAGGTTCAACTTATTCACTGTCTCTTTCCAATTCTAGAATTGGAAAGAGACAGTGAATAAGTTGAACCTCGATTAAGAATTAATTGTGAGTTGTGGAACTGGGCCTTAAAGCAGTATTCTGACTGACTCATCGGCTTAAGTTTACGTCTCAAGATTACTGTAATGCGGGGTCTACAATAGAAGTCGTAGCGATCGTAGGGTTTTAAGGGGTTACATCTAATTGACACACTGAAAAATTAGACTTTTTTTATGAATTTTTTTTGAAAGTACTAAAAAAGCACTCAAAATGAGGTTCAGAGGGTTTATTTTGCATGTATTTAAGTATACAAAAAAAATTTTTTTAATGAAAAAAATACAAAATTGCGGCGTAGTCGCTGCTGCGGTAAGAGCACTTTTTTTTTAGGCGCTCCACGGGCGAACTAATAACTTTTTTGGATCATCATCTGGAACAAAAAGAAAAATTTTTTTATTTTTTACATTAGTTTTGCTAGAGAAGTACACACGATTATTAAGAAATATGGTTTTTTCGCAAAATGACATCATCTTGAAAAAAAGTATCCTTTTTTGACGAAAAAATCGGCCTTAATTTGTTTATAAAAACCGTAATTGTTAATCAATCGTAAAAATCGTGTGTACTTCTTTAGAGAATCTATCTAAGAAGCTACAGTTAAAATTTTATGTACATCGGATGAAAATTGCCCGAGTTATGTGTTCGCCCGATTTCAAAAACGTGGTTTCGAGATAATCGCGTTTAAAGTTTCACAACTGTTTTTCTACGTGAAATTTTTAAAATAGGGGCTTAGTGATTTTTTTACCTTTACTCGCTTATGCCAGGACCATAAAGCATCCCTTCCAAGTTTAGATTATGCTCCTCAGTTTCTTTCCTGGCTGAAACATGTTCCTTTCGAGCCTCTTTTCTTGATGCCGACGACGAGTGCTCCGCAGCTCTTACGCGGTGTTCGTCGATTTCGTGGCAAAAATTATAAGTCTCGTAGCCAATCTTTAATCCTAGTAAAGCCATTACTTCAAAAAGTCCTTTGAATCCTTCATTAAAAAGTATGGCTGCTATGTCGACCGCTATATCGAGAATCTTCTTGCCACTTGAAATTGACTTCGGAGCTATCGTCCACACGATGGAATTAAAACTCTCATTCGAGTTCTGCGTGTATCCACCCAGACATCTTGATAGCAGGTCCTCTGTTGTTAAATCCTGGTATACTTTTTGAATAGCGTTGAAAATTTCCGTGGACATAGGTGGCTTATGATCATAAATAGATAGGGTGTTTGCAGCGGCGGCTTGCTGCCACGTACACCAAGAGTTAGGGCCGATCGGGCATTTTTCATGCTGGGGATTTTCGTTGGTGGAAATTTTATGGTATAAGGTGGCCCATATATCATTTCGCATAGCTTCGACGGAGTCACAATTTCTGCGGATAGCTAATCCATAATACACAGATAATTCGTCGATAAGCTTGTCCGTGACGATAAGTTTCCCTTTGCCACCTAAATTTTTAACTTGTTTTTTTAAATTTCTCAGCCTTGTGCCCATCCGCTTCTGCACGTGCCCTATGCACTCTTTTTTGACAACTACTAAATCATCATAAGGTTTACCATCGACAATGCCTTTGTAAGTTTTTGAGTCACCATCGCCGATGTAGAATGCATAGCGTGTATTGTACAAATCTTCGGAGCGGCGAAACATCTCAAGAATTGCGTCCACCTCCATTTTACCCGCCGATCCGCTATGATTCGTTTGGCATACGCTTTCATGATGAGCAGCCCACTCCTCGTATTCGGCTGTATCGCACTTCTTGTTCCAGTGCTCGCAACATTTGCAGTACTTTGATTTGACAAGGACGTCAAGCACCTTCCCAGTGTGCCATCCAATCAAAGTAACAAATCCGAACAACGAGGAGAAACCTCTTTTCCGCCACGACCCATCACTTGAAACCGTGAGGCCCGCCGTTTCCCCTTTGCTGGCTGCAATACTCTTTTCTGTTTCAGCTGCTTGCTTACTTGATTTTGTTCTTACGGCATTTACGGCTGTGGTTATTAGATTCATAATATTATAATATCGTATGTGCTTTGGTAGATGGGCTTGGGCAGACTCATTAGAGCACAAAACTTTGAAATACCATATTGTCCTATTCCAAGCAAAAATCAAACGTCTATTTATATCATATGCATTTTCGATATGCGGGCTGTTGTTAATGTGAGTATCGCTACATGTGCCACACGAAACAACGATCTTGAAACCAAGCCCTCTCTTGCTCGTTTCTGTAAAACTCACACTATTACCACACTCTTTGCATATAAGAATTTGAGCGAGGGCCGCAAATACCGGAACAAAATTTATAAATCGATAACCAAATGTAGCGTCGACTTCAATATCAACATCACAGGCGTTGTTTTCATTTTTTTTGCGAGCGTCGACGTGACTTCCGACTCTTTTTCAAAACTGTGTCGGTTCGG